TTGGAAATATCGTGATGGGACGAGGGGTTGCTGCACGCTGCACGTGTCAGGGTCCAGTCCTTCGCTAGCTCAGGCCGAAACAATTATCCGTGCCTTTGCCCCCATACGTATTGCTGCTCTCTGTCTTCTGGAGTGCTGCCAGCTTCAATCAACAGCTCAATATTGGGCTCTCAGCTGGCTATACTGACCATGAAGCCCCTATCGGTCTTCCTGCCCTGTGCAGCACTCGCACAATATGTCGCTGCTCAAGGCGCATACCTCTTCACCATCGACCGCTCTATCACCAGCCCTTCGACTGGCATGATCGATTCAGAAATGGCCAGCGCCGTTATCGCGAGAAGAAGAGCCCTTACTGCAGATCGATACCTCGGAATAACAGATTCAATGCTTCTCGAAGATCTCAATACCTATGGGGGATACCAAGCACCGCTGTTTGGGGAGAGCCATCCCAAAGATGCGCCAGGAAAGCTATTCATCAGAATAACGGGGGTGGATATGCAGATCAGTGACTTTGATATGGCCATGCCTGATCTATGGATCTCGGATCCGACAAAAGACCTGCTCAGCGACTTCAAGGCGGTATCTGATGGAAGCCGAAAAGAGAAAGACGGGCTCTGCGAGTATGCAGTTCCGCCTTCTCGCAATGCTCCCCAAAGCAAGGGTGTTGAGGTGGTCTTCACCTATCCAGCCGAAAATGGAAGATGCCTGGCGGCCTCAGAGATCCCCAACATCCCGATCATTCTCTCCCTCCACAGTTTCCTGCCCACCGACCCGTCGGGCGTTAAGAACCAGCTGAACGGCTTGGTGCGAATCCTGAAGCACTTCTCTGCCACAGACAACGTCGAATCCACCATTCTCCTGCTTCCCTCCACGAAGAAACTGAAGAATCCCAAAAAGAAAAATGCGAACAACCACAAGCACGTTGCCCGCTCCGCACAAACGTCCGAAGAGGAACGCCTGGACCTGCCATCTACGTCGCCGACCCCATCCTCCATCTCTGGATTTGACACAATCACACCCGCCAACACTTCCTCAAACTTCACCCTTCCCTCTGTGATTCCCGCCTGTTTTGCCTCACAGTCAGCGTGCGAGAACACCACAAACTCGTGCTCCGGCCACGGCTCCTGCTACAAAGCCCACACCAATTGCTTCAAGTGCCGCTGCACGTCTACCCTTGTCCGGATCAACGAAGACGGGACCAAGAAGACCGTGACATGGGGCGGAAACGCGTGTCAAAAGAAAGACATCTCCGTGCCTTTTATCATGTTCGCCACCTTCGGCGTGGTTATGACTGCATTGGTAGCCGGGGCCATCGGAATGCTGTACAGCATGGGAGCGCAAGAACTACCCAGTGTGATTGGGGCTGGTGTCGCGGGGCCCAGGGCTGCGAAGTAGGACAGGGAACCTGTTATACTGCTGTTTGTACTCTATCATTTTCACGAGATGGGCTTTCCAGTCAGAAAGGGGGGGAGTTCGGTTGAAGATCAGGTCGAGCCAGCTTGAACACACACATCCGAAGACTCTATATAGATGGTTCAAACATATGAAGGAAACAGGTACGACCTTAGTGTGCGGTTTGATGGTCACCGTTCCATTGCACTTTGACCCATAGAAATATTCGAGTGGGTGCTTACTGGACAGAGAAACAGCGGTAGGCTTTGTGAGTTTCAAGGCATATTTCAATCTCATTGATAAAACACTGGCGCTGAAGCCCCTAGAACGGACGTACTGAAATGCAACTCCATGCATGTGTCAAGCTCGTTGAAAGCAGTTCGCCGCATTGCCAATTCCTTTTCCGAGTCATTTGGACCGAGACACGTCTTTCCTAATCTCATTGCAAACCCTTCCCTTATGTTAGGCTGTGTTGAGATGTACAATCAAGGTGCACCTCTCAAAGTCAAACTGTAATTGACTGGGTGCATACGTCTTCTTCTCTCCGTCCCTGAGATCTGCCAACACCTCCACAACAAGAACATTCTCTCCTGGAACGAGCCTGACCTCAAAAGCCCCTTCCACATGATTACTGTTGCTCTCTTTGTAAACGGTCGAGTTATGCATGAAAAAAATGCGATGACGGCGACGATTTGCTAGTTCGGGGGTGGTCGTGGGGATAATGCGAAGATCGCGGTAATGTGCAGGTAAAGCGATGAAGCCGCTTGTCTGGGTCTTGGTGGCCGAGCCGTAACGGACCAGTTTCCAGCGTGGGTCATTCGGTAAAGAAGGGTTGGTCATAAATGTCACAGAGGCAAGTAAAGCATGTGACCAGCCTGAGAGTGTAGCGGATTCAATGTCAGCAGAATGACACCAATGAAAAGATTAGATGAGAAGAGTGAGATTGAACTTACCTCTGCCTGGGTCACGGTAACGTCGCTCCATGGGAATCACAGATTGATTCAAGTAGTTGTCATTGGGTGCCGATGGATTCGTGCTCAGTATAGGGCTAGATGGCTGCTGCACGGAGGACTCGATATGCCCGTTTCCATTCGTGAGAGGCAGTGTATTCGGGAGGTCAACGTCGACTTCTTGAACAGGGGTTGGCAGCTGCTGTGCCGGGGTTTGCGTAGGGGGTTGTGAGGCTTTCACAGCTTCTTGAGCTTGGGGTGTGCTTGCGATACCGTTGACTTTGACGTCGTTCACGATTGCATCAGGCTGCTCAGTAGTTGTAGCTAGTGAGGCGCTTCGACGAACGCTGGGAGCGGCGCTTGATGGCACTGGGGTCGAACCATTGGTTTGTGCCACCTTCGAAGTTGCCCTCTGCGCTTTGCTCAAGGCTTGACCCATCTCTTCCTTCTGTCGTCGGAGTGACTCGCTGTCGATCGTACCACCGACCACGTTGGGTGTAGGTGTAGACGAACCCATCGTCAGTCGCAGAGCCTTTGGTTTTGGTTGTGACAAAGAAAGCTTGAGATTGCGTCTTGGTTGAGCACCAAGTGACTGCATCTTGGATTCCGACCAGACCTGTTAACACGATAAAGGATATTAGCGCGTTGTCACGTTACGCGATTCACGCCTAGAAGTCAACATACCTCGAGTTTTTCTGCCATCAGGTAGATGTCGGACCCTTCTTGATTGTAATCTTTTGCGTTGTCCCAGATGAGTCGCACTTCTTTTGCCAACGCGTCCCAATCCTGAATCGCATCCCTCTCTACCATCGCCCGCACGTCTGATATAGACGTCGGCTTCTTGACCAACCTGTAATAGTCGGGATAGTCCTTTTTGGACACTTTTTCCTCAAAGTTGCTGCGCAACAAAAGAAATGTCAGTCTGTGTGGTCACCATCAGAAGGGTCTTCAATGGAGGGAGTTTACATTGCATCGTCTTGTTCCGACAGTTCCCGCAGAAACTTCAACTGTTCTTGCCTCATATCTTCCCTCGTGTCGGTGAGGGTGTCAGTGGATGGCGTTGCCTGACTTTGGCGTCGCCGCACCGCAGGATTCGGGAAGACCAGCTTGACCCTCTCTGGAGCCATCGTCCCCTCTGATGAGACGGACTGCCGTCGCACCTGATCAAGCAGGTCTTGTGGAATCGGAGTTGGATAAGCACGATAATCTTGTCGCAAATACGCCGGATTGTGCTTTGGCATGAAATTGGACAAAGCCTTGCGTATGCGCTCGGCATCCTCGAAGATTGAGGATCGACTATTGTTATAGTCCTTTGCATTCTGTACCATTCTCTTCAGGTCTGACTCCAGAGCCTCCAGGTTTTCATATTCATAATTCTCCAGCCGCTGCTCGATCATGTTGAGGGAGAGAGGCATGGCAATTTGCTGATAATAGTCAGGGTAATCGGCCCTGCTGGGCAGGTCCAGAAAATGGATTGCGACGTTGCGGCCATTCTTGTCTTGCGACTTCTTCAACTGCCTGACGAGTCTCAAGCCAATGTCTGCGGTGGTCTCTCGGGTTTCTACCTCAGGAAAATGGGTATCCTACATACGACTGGATTAGCAAATCTCTGTCCAGATGCATCAACCATTGCGAATGCGGTCGATGCAGAGCACGGCGGTCATCTCAAGTGCAGGCGACGCTGCACGTAGCATGAGGTGCACAAGGCGGGGGTTCCGCAACTCTGCGCACGGTCGAGAAGTGCAGTGGTAAGTGGGAAGTGGGAGTTGAGCGAGTGAGAGAGGATTATTTTAATACTTACGTCGCTCCGCTTGCGTCGCTTGGGATCAGGCGTGGCTAGAAAGTCGTCGGGGTCGCCTGCATGGCCGCTTCTGCGCTTCGAGCTCATGATTTCGCGGCCTCACAAGGTCTCGAGATTGGGCGAGGGATGCGGGTGCAGGAGGGGCCACCATCAGGTGCAAAATGCACGGAGATGCTATTAGAGAGGTGAACAGGGCAAACGGGACCCTTGCGAAGGCATTCAATGGTGTGGGAGTTGCATGCGCTTTGGGGAGACTTCCATCGCTCGCCCTTCACGCTTTTTGGGGGTGACAGGATCTCAACGGGGACGCGACACACGCAACTGTCAGTCTTTCGCTGCGAGAGAGGAGGGCGAAAAACCCAACACACGTGACAGAGCCCGGATTATCTGGCAAGTCATCGGCTTGATCCGAAGTTGAGTTTATCCGCGAGATCTTGGCAGCCGCACCTTCTCCCATAGGCTGGTGTTTGGGTTTTGGCTCCCCCAATCTGTGTTTACTTCGGCGAGCCTCTGGGACTATCCGCCTCAAACACAAACGCAGGTCGCAGTCCTCTGCTCTCCCCCCTCGCGATAGCCCGTTTCCAAACGACCTTCTCTGGGTTGAAACCTGACACCGACACATTCCACAGATTGCTCGGTTGTTATTCGCACCTTTCACTTGCGCGTTCTACACATCTACGGCCCTTGCATGCTCAAGAGCACGAGACCATTTCGCGAATTCAGTTCCGCAGCTACCCAAACACCGCTAACGATTGTATCGCGTTGTACTCCTTCACTACCCCTCATCACGTCTCCCGAGCGAGAGACACTTCGCCTCACGAGTCTTCACCACCGATCGCGTCTCAAAATCCTGCAACATGACCGATATTGACATGTCAAGGCGGAATAAGAAGCCTAGGTTATTGCTCGAGTCCGAGAGAGCGCGACTGGAGGAGTTCATTGACAGTATTGGATATTCGGCGAGGTGTGTATCCACCAAATTTGCTCGTTGTTCTGAGGCTAACAGGCGCCAGATATTCTGACAGCGAATTCGAATACCGTCATGTGCAACTCCCAAAGGCCATGTTGAAGGTCATACCAAGAGAGTACTTTGATGACTCGAAGGGAACGTTGAAATTGCTATGGGAAGAGGAATGGAGAGGACTGGGGATCACACAGGTATGTGAAAGGGTCACAATACGTATTACACTTCAGCTGAACATTCGGCAGAGTCTAGGATGGGAGCACTATGAAGTTCACGAACCCGAACCACATATCCTCCTGTTCAAGTAAGTCTGGCGAACCTCACATTTGTCCCCGGGTGTTAACACGATGAGCAGACGACCGATTGGATACCAGCCTCCTGCCCACTGATCTTGACACAATTGCATCCGAATCACTTCTCCAACTAGCGCAGCATTGGGAGGGCGTTTTCTCCGGAAACACAGGAACCGTGTTCAAATGTGCATTCAGCGGGTGTGCTTAGTACCAGTTTGTGTATGTCTTGACGAATGGATCCAACGGCGGCCAAAGAATTTAGGCACAAAGATGTTGGTGGTCACCCAGGTTTAGCATAGCCTTTTCAGCTCCACCACCAACTTAGCTGAAACCCATGAAAGAATGGATGGTGTTCTTGTACGCTACTCATCATCATCTGCAAGCGACTCCGGTCCCCATGTCAGAATTCCGTCGACTCTTCGTTGGGCTGGCTTCTCTTTTTCAACTCGCGTTCTTTTGCAGCCACTCCTCCCATTGCTCTATCGTCCAACCAGAACTGATGCTGCGTTCCTCTACGCCATTGAACAGGACAGTTGGCGTGACATGGACACCGGTAACTCTGTTCGCCTTGACCATGAACTTGACGTCGTCAGTGACCTTATTCCCGATGTTGAGCCCGCCATCCTTGTCTGGCTTGTCGGGGACCAACAACAAGTCCAAAATGGTCTTCTCGTCCACCCCTTCCACAGAGCCGGCCAGCTTAGCAAGCCGCTTGTACGTCTCGTTCCGACTTTCATTCACCAGGCTGACATCGAAATAATCCTTTTGTTGCTCGAACAGCTTTTCCGAAAACGACCAAAAGGAGTTGGGTGCGGTTTTCAGAATGGCAGCACCGGCTTCATGGACGAGGGTAGAAGAAGGATGCCAAGGCTGGATCTGTTGACGGAAGATGACACGGACGCCAGGGTTGGTGTACTTCTTCTCAATGACGGGTGCAACGCTCTTGTAGAAGGTCTTGAACAACTTCGCAGAGAAGGGACAGACATAGTCCAAGTAAAGCTCGATGGTGTGCTTTGCTTCGTTGCTGGAGGCCGAGGCCAGAAGCTGACCGGAGAACTTTGGTGGAAGAGCCATGTGGATAAGGATTCTATGGTACCCTGATTTCTCAGAAAGGGTTACTGAGTGAAGCTGTCCTTATATACTCGGTATGAGGGGGACAGGTTGAGATTTAATCAGAAAGTGACCATCGTTCACATGCATTGATTCCGTCATCAAGACAAGCGATGAGGAGAAGATGATCACGTGGTGATAGCGATAAGGTATGTGCCTTTGCACGTGCTGTACAAGATTGTTCTCAAACTAGAACCTCTAAACAACACTTGACACAAGAGGTGTCACTATGGTAAATCGTCAGTGACCGTCAAAGCCATCGGCCAACTCCTTCTAAACCACCTGATTCTTGTGCCGCGGCCCCTTTTCTTGACGCTCTCCCCGTTGCAGCTTCCACATTACCGGAATACCTGATACCACACCATGGCAGTTACGTCCTGCCCAGGCTGGATCTCTCCATGGATACCCTTTTTGCGCAACTATTCTCCTTGGCTGAACCTGTCATCAGCTTGTTAAGCATTGCATCTCAAGAACCCTCATTCTCTTATCTACCGATTTACCATTTCATTCGTCTCAGAAGCTTTAAGAAACATCTTCATTCGGCACAATGCCGCCCTTCGTCCGCTTTTTGGCCGCCTTGATCCAGGTCTGCATTGTGTTTGTATCGTTCTGCTTGTTCCACTCCACCCAGAGCATTGTCATCTTCTCAATAAATTCCACGCGGATCATGAATGGTGCGCCTTTGAAGTGTCTGCAAAGCCAGGTGGGAGGGTATCTTAAATGCCTCCCTTTCGTCATCCACCACTTCTTCCTTGAGCTTCGATTGCTGCGTCGATATCTAGCCTCTGCTGGAATTCAATTGTTTGACGGCATCATTTCAGACGCAGTCCTGTGTCTTCGGAGAATCGGCGCTGCGATTTGCTTTTATTTTATGCTCTTCATGGTCCTGGCTCTTCCGATGTTGACAGGCTGGTTGGTAAGATGGATGGGTCTCCAATGTAAGCAGTTCGGTCAGAATCCTCACTTTTTGTCGTGCCTCTCGCACACTTTATTCTTCTGATGCCGTGTCATTTTCATTGCTGTCGATCTTCGCTAATCTTTCACAGTCCTTTGGCAACGGCTCGGCTACCTCTTTGCTACTGTAGTAGCCTTCTTCAAAAGATTGAATGCGAACATCAGGATGATGTTCTCACGACTCGAAGATGGGAACGACTCCCTCGAGGTAATACCCCTTCACTCAGGATCCTCAAGACATTTCCGCACGGACACAAAATTCCAACAGTGGCTCCTAGATGATGGGCCTAGCAGGGCTGGCACAGATTGTGTCCTCTGTTAGAGGCAGGTGGTCGATTGCGATACCCTGTTATACCTCCCTTGCAGCAAATCCCACTGGTTTCATTTGCTATGTGCGGAGGATTTTGTTGCCAGTTTCAGCCAATGCCCGGTATGCCATGAACCCGTGTGTGTGTCTGACGCAGTCGTACGCATCAACACTGGTGCACCTCTGGGTGGCTCAATTGCGAATCAATCAAGGAAAAACGATATCAGAAAGCCTCGACCACAGATGACTGGAGTAAACGAGAGCAACGCAGTGCCAAAACAATCAAATCATCGCCAGGGAGTTGACAGGAGAGAACGTCTGATCGGGTCAACCATGGAGAGTACCAAACAAGTCCAATCACCAAGCAAAAGGGTGAATTGCAGGAGAACTGGGTTGGTAACAAAACAACGCCTTCGAAAGGGCCATTGGCGTCTGCACCGCAAATCAGATGATCTTCCCTGAAGTGGTGGTCAATGACCATATACAAATATGGAGGACGAGGAATAAGGTAGGAACTTGGGTTTATGATGGACCGGCGTGAAATGAAAATGGAGCAGGAAGCATATCTGCAGCCTTGAAATCACTGTGTTGATTTGTCGTACGTCTTCCCCTGCTGGTGGTCTGCTTCCTGAACAAGCTGAATTCGTCGTAGTCCTTCTTCAATGCCTGGAAGTAGTTTCGAGCCGATAAGATGGTAATGAGGTTGGAATGCTCCTTCCTCTTAATCCAAATAAACAATCCTTTATCCTCTGTCCGCGCATATCTTCATCTACCCCTCGGATCTCTCCACAACAGTCTTTAATATCGTTTCACAGCTCATATCTTCTATGACCCTGTTTCATTTAGTGAGTATCGTCACTCGTTCCCTTCATTTACTCCGCTGTTTTCATCTCCACCATCGTCAGCTTTTTCCTTCACACCATACAATATGGACGAGGCCAAAATACAAGAAGGAGACACTCTTTATGAAATCTCTATATGCATATCACCTTGCATCACGGCAAAAACAAAAGGATTGACGGAATATGCCCTTCGCTATCATCTAAATTCCTTGATTCGCAAAGTTGGTGTCCTATGCAAAGTGTTCGACGGAGTTCGATCGCCCAGAGACGACCATGAGCTGAGTGCTCAGGATCAGTTCTGCCTCAAATTCATCACTCTGGCACCCGTCCTCACCATGATTGCTTTGAACGACATGAAGAAGCTGGTCTGTTGCACAGCGATCAATACTGTGCAGGTTCCTCAGTTTACAGCAGAATGGAGACCTACGACTGTGACCACCTCTGAAGCGATCAACTACGGTGTCCTGGTGACCTGGGCCATTTAGATACATGTCCTACGGATCACGTCAGTTACCATGGACGGAAATATTTTGCCAGCAATCTGCTTTCTTGGTCTGTTCATGCTGGAGCAATACCGCTTCCTTGAAGTCCAAGAGGCATGCATATTCGACAGTGAAGAATACGCGATGAAACCGTGCCCACTGGTTACATATAAAGCGCTTGAGGGAGATACCGGCGGTATAGAGGAGATGCTCTTCGAATGTTCCATTTGCCAGCTGGATCCCATTGGCAAAGCTGAATATGTCTACAACTTGTCGTGCAGTCACATATTCCACAGGTAGTGCCTGGTTGTCTGGCTGATTCGCGAGGGCAAGTCGACCTGCCCATTGTGTCGAGATCAAATTCTCGTCAATAATGTCTGCCTTCCAGCATTACAATTGAGCTTGGGACATAACAGCGATCGATGTGTTAGTTGATGGGAGGACTCTGAACTTGTCGAAGGTATGGAGCTGCATCAGAGAGCCAAGGCTCTTCATGTCTTTGAGGTCGACTGTGCCAGGAAGAATGTATCGACCTGTGCGGTCATGGGCGACTGACTAGCACGTTACCTTACGTTCATTTTCACGTTGACCATTCTCTTTGTTGTTGTTGTTACCTTTGATGGCCATGACCACCCAGGGTTTTGTGCGGCTCAGCTATGATATTTTCGAGGGTTGCAGTTCTTCCAGTCCAGGTTGAGGGAGACTATGTACCTAAAGAAAAAAAAGAATCTCCATTCTACTATTCTAGTTGCATGTGTGTGATATTTTACAGCGACTCTACTTTTCGGCTCTCTTCTGATTCCGCCCGCCCTCTTGCGCACGCGACACGATGACCTTCTGGACCGTCTGCATGAATTGCTCCGTCTTTCCATGGGGGAACGTCGCGTTATTGTTGAGGTTGCGCACAATCTGGTCCAAGAACGGCATCTTCTGCTTTTTGACTTGGGGATACACGCCACGCGCGTAGGTGTCGGCGAGGCCCTTGCGCTCGGCGGCGCGGGCAACCACGTCCTCAAAACTCACGTCCTTGGGCTGGACCTCGACGTTTGTCTTCTCGGTCTCTTTGTCGGCCTCCAGCTTGGCCACTTCCTGCGCGAGCTTCAAGACCTCCTCCTTCTCCGCCTCGGACTCGAAGCGGGTGAAGTAGCCCTTGGTGTACCACTCCGCCAGCTGGCCTGGTGTCTGGTAGCCGTGCGGAATCCGATGCGCGAGCCACTCGATCCTTTGTTGCACGCTTTCCACTAGGCCCGAGTTGGTGAGTGGCGTGTTTGGCCAGTCCTTGCGCAGTTCCGTCACGGAGAGTTCTTCTCCAGGTAAATG